ATTGATCTGTCAGATTGTTAGACGTGTGAACATAGTCCAACGATATTACTCCGGAGTTTCTCAAATTTCTGACATATTTTAGTCATCTCTTAACATGCCTTGTAGACTTCATGTTATCCTTAGAACTGTTAACCTTTGTAATCACAGTCTGGTTATCGTAGTTCATAGAAATAGCCGGTATGGGGTTTTCAACAACTGGTAAATCCATAAGGAGATCATGAAGCCACTCGGCCTCAGAGCCAGCGATGTCTAATGCTGTGAGTTCTGCTTCCATTGTAGACTTCGTTAAGATAGTCTGCTCGCAAGACTTCTAGGAAACAGCACCGCCTCCAAGCGAAAACACATATCCACTTGTGGCAAAAAGCTCTCAGCATCAGAGATCCAGTTGGCATCACAATAGCCTTCCAGCACCTTCGGGTGTCCGATATAACGAATACCATAGCTCATAGTGCATTTTAGATAGCGCATCACTCTCTCAAGAGCACGCTAGTTATCATCTCCCGGGTTTGATACAAACCGGCTCAGCTTGCACACAGCAAATGAGACGTCAGGCCTTGTTGCACTAGCAAGATACGTGAGCGAACCAATGATCTGAGAATATCTCAATTGATCTCTTGCTATTCTCCGATTTTTCCTCAATAGCACACTCGGGTCATAAGGTGTAGGAGCAGGTTCACAGTCACTAAACCCAAAGCGACTCAGCACATTTTCCACATAGTGGGATTGTAACAGAGTTACCCCACCATCACATTCTCTCAGAAGCTTGATATTAAGAATAACATCAGCCTCTACCAAATCTTTTATTTCAAAATTATTAGATAAAAATTCCTTCACCTCCTCAATCACTTTGAGGCTAGATCCAAAGATCAGTATGTCATCAACATATAAGTACAAAATAACTCCTTCACCCCCACCATACCGATAGTACACATATTTGTCAGCTTCATTCACAACAAAGCCAGCAGATGTTAAAGTTCTGTCGAACTTCTCATGCCACTGCTTAGGAGCTTGTTTTAGGTCATATAATGACTTTAATAATTTACACACCTTGCCTTCTTGACCATTTGCTACAAACCCATCCGGCTGATCCATATAGATCTTCTCTAACTCTCCGTTTAGGAAAGCTGTCTTAACGTCCATTTGATGAACGATAAGACCATAAGAGGCTGCTAGGGAAAACAAAACTCGAATTGTAGTCAATCGAGCAACCGGTGAATAAGTATCAAAGAAACCCTCACCTTCCTTTTGAGTATAACCCTTGGCCACAAATCTTACCTTGTACCTCTCGATAGTACCATCAGGCCTAAGCTTTTTTCTGAACACCCATTTGCACCCTATAGGCTTGCACCCATAGGGACGATCAACTATTTCCCAAGTTCTATTAGACATAATAGAATCCATCTCACTTTGTACTGCTTGCTTCCACGAGTCAGCATCAGGAGAGGAATATGCCTCTTCAATGGTCGTTGGTGTGTCATCCACAAGGTACACAATATAGTCATCACCAAAAGACTTTGCAGTCCTCTGTCTTTTACTTTTCCTAGTGACTATAGAGTCATCCTCCTTAGAATTTTGCATATAGGGTTCCTTAATTTGTTCTATCGGAGTAAAATTTTTATGCTCACGGGGAATTATAAATTCATGACTAGTCATGCTAGGTGTATTTTTCATGGGAAATTCATTCTTAAAAAATGTAGTGTCTCTAGATTCCATGATTGTATCAACAACCATCTTTGGAACACTAGAATTTATAATTAAAAATCTATAACCCACGCTGTGAATAGCACAACCAAGAAAAACACAATCAACGGTCTTTGGTTCAAGCTTTCGCTTTTTGTTTATTGGCACATTCACCTTTGCCAAACAACCCCAAGTTCGCAGGTAAGAGAGATTTAATCTCTTCTTCTCCCATTCTTTGAATGGTGTAATTTCTTTGTTCTTTGTGGGCACCCTATTCAGGACATGACACGCTGTCAATATAGCCTCACCCCACCATTCCTTAGATAGTCCCACAGTCTCTAACATGGCATTAACCAAATCAGTTAGAGTATGGTTCTTTCTCTCCGTAATCCCATTGGACTGTGGTGAGTATGGTGACGCCCTCTCATGAATAATTCCATGCACCGCGCAAAACTTAGAAAATTCATTTGAGAAATATTCTCCCCTGTGATCGGACCGCAAACGCTTGATTTTCTTCTCAAGTTGATTTTCTACCTCAGCTTTATAGACTTTAAAATAATACAACGCTTCATCTTTAGTTTTCAATAAATACACAGCAAAATCAAGTACAATCATCTATAAATGTCATGAAGTATCATTTACCGCCTTTAGTCAATTCGCCATTCATTTCGCATAAATTAGAATGAACGAGTTCTAATGGTGCCAGGTTCCTCGCCTCAGCAGCCTTGTGAGGCTTGCGTGGTTGCTTCGATTGCACACACATCTGGCACTTAGAATCTTTGACTAAGTTAAAATTTGGGATTAAATTCAAATTTGCAAGCCGCGTGAGACACCCAAAATTAATGTGACAAAGTCGTGAATGCCATATATTCGACTCATCCGAAACATTAATATTGTTCACTACTTTATTACACATATCATTAAGCAAAGATAAGCGAAACAAGCCTCCGCAATCATAACATTTTCCAACAAATGTTCTATGTCTCGACACAACACACTTATTGGACTCAAGCACAATTTTAAAGCCATCGCGATATATTTGAGAACCGCTAACAAGATTCTTCTTGATGGAGGGGACATGCTGCACATTCTTTAATAGCACCGTCTTTCCCGAAGTAAACTATAGAACGACCGTACCAGCACCAAGAACACGCGCATGCGAACCGTTTCTCATCAGCAAGGCTCCAGTCCTGCCGGCCTGATAGGAAGTAAACAAAGAAACATCAGCACACTCTTGAATATTAGCACCGCTATCCATCCACCACTCAGGTGAAAGACAAACTGAAAGAACAAAAGGTAAAGAATTACCATACCCAGATGTTCCTCCTCCAGTCTCGCTAATCACCATGTTTGCTGATTTCCTTTCTTGCTTATATTTGCGGTCTGGGCACGCACTTGCCCAATGCTCATCACTCCCTTAAACAAAGCAACCTCCACCTTTCTTGTTGTTTTTCTTCTTAAACTGTGCAGTTTGCTTAGGCTTTATATTATTGTTCTCTTGCATGTTCTTCTTCTTTTTATTACGGGATGCAAATGAGTTTTTCTTCTGCACCATATTGGCAGCGGAAGACTCAACTCCTTTTCCACGATTGTCTTTTGCTCTCGCCCTCTCCTCAACATCAAGAGATTCAATAAGCTCAGCCACGCTAAACTCTTGTCTCTTGTGTTTTAGAGAAGTAGCAAAATCCCTCTAAGAAGGTGGTAGCTTAGCGATTATACCGCCGGCCACAAACTTGTCGGGTAACAGACATGGAAAATGTTCTAGTTTCTTTTCTAGCGCCTGTATCTCATGAGTCTGTTCCACTACAGAATGGTTTTCAACCATTTTGTAGTCATACAGCTGTTCCATAAGGTACGGCTCACTACCAGCATCAGAAACTTCAAACTTTGCCTCAAGAGCACCCTATAACTCTTTGTCTGATGTGCAAGATATGTAGTTTTTCTCATATTTAGGATGAAGTGCACTAATCACGACGCCTCGAAATAGGTTATCCGCAGCCAAGAACTTTTGCTCCTCCTTAGGAGTAAATTGTTCAGGCTTCCCCTGTGCGGCATAATAGCAATTCATAGCAGCCAACCACAACACCATCTTTGCACGCCATATCATAAAATTCTTGCCATCAAAATTGTTCGGCTTCAAAGCAGCAGCAAAACCACTGACAGAAAATTGTCTAACATTAGGTTTTTGGATTGTTAGATAATTAGGCATTTTCATGGTCAATTTAATCCAAAAATAAAACATCAGGCAGGTTTGTGACGACGTATATGTGCATGTGTATATCTGTGACAAGTGCTACAGTATGCAAGTATGACATATAGGTTGATATAGTAAGAACGCAAAGTATGGTAATCACAGAATTAAAATTGTACCCAACGGAGGGTCACATGCCGAGGGCATCGGAGGCTCCATTCGCACTAGTCGACATAGTGTGTTGTTCGAAGTCGTGGACCATAGTCGATGCAGGAAGATGTTCGCAGTGCAGTCCCACGAACGATCACCAGGAAGAAGACGGGTTCCGCGAGCGATCACAAAAAGAAGACGTCGGACGAGCAGTCGCGGATTCGCTCCCCAAAAACTTAATCGCCGCACACCCCGTGCAAGGTTCGCAGGCGGCCAAGAGTTCCAGAGGCACCTGCTCTCCCGCTACTTCATGTGCACAGGGGTACGGGATGGGGAAGACCTAAGGGCGGCAGAGATGTGGTCTCTCTCTCTGAAGCGAAGCAGAAGCAGGAAGAAGACTGACAGAGGACTTTAGATTTATGGCTGCGACGGGAAGGGAGAAAGGCTGCGGAGGATCCCAGGAGACAAAGAGACGGTAACTCGCGCAATTAGTTCGCCTCCACCGTAAAGGAGAGAAACTCCCGTGATTATGTGGATTAAGTGGCAAAACCTGGCCACGCCCGCCCGCTCGCTCGCCTGCCTCGCCACGGCCGTGGGTGTGGCCGGCGGCGGCTGCTCATGCGCGCGTGGCACTCCTTTGTCCTTTTCTCAGCTTCTCAGTTAAGATGGATAATTTCCAACCAAATAAGTTGAGTAAACGTTCAGTTAAAATCCCATACGGTATTAAACCATATAACACTTAATGTTACGTACCATAGAGTTTTATTTGATTTATTAAATATTATACGGGCCGAGCCCATAATATATTCAACAGTAAATTCAAATCCCGCTCAACAGTAATGAAGATCAAGTCGATCTGAAATCTCAATCTACTACATGTAACACCGAAGAACGGCAAGGTGTGTGTACAAAGCATGCGGAGACGTACAATACAACAAGCCATGGCAGCAGGCCCGGCCGGTGGCCGGAGCATCATCACCTAGGCCTTGACGTTGACGGTGTACTGGACGACGGTCTCCCCGGAGGTGGCGCCGGAGTCGATGGTGTGCGCTTGCACGTACCCTCGCGCCATGCGGAACTTGCCGCTGCCGCCGACGATGCTCATCTCGCGGACGTCGCTGAGCACCTCGTTCCGCCCCACGATGGAGAGCGTGCTGCCGTTGTGCTCCCCGCCCGTGAACACGAAGTTCATCACCATCAGGAGGCCGAACGTCTTCTGGTCCGCGAACGTGTAGGTGCCCTGCGCGCGGCCGATCTCGGTGCCCGACGCGCTCGTCGGGCCCGTGGTGAGCGGGTCGTCGATGGCCACCACGGCGCCGAAGGAGGTCGACGAGGTGTTGGACGACGCCGCCTGCGCGATGCGGACGGCTGTTGGGGACGACGTGCCCGCCACGATGTCGTGGAAGTAGAGCTTGAACGTCGTGAACCCGTTGTCGTCGGCCGCCGTGGCGCCGGACGCGAGCAAGGCGGCGGCGCACAGCAGCAGGAGGAGCGTGGTGGAAGCTGCCCGGCTTCTGGTGGTGGTGGCGGCCATGGCGATGGATGGTGGTGGAGGCGAGCGGGTGAGATGGGGTAGCGGCCACTGGATATGTAACGGTGGGTGGGTGGTGGGAGTGGTTGGTAAAGAGCAGGGGTGGGCCGGTGGCGGGGGCAGTGGCATCTGGTCGGTTTGGGCTCTGGAGGGGCAGGTCGTCTGCCGCGCCTGTCGTAGTTGGTCCGGTAGGTGAGGTCGCCATCGTCTTCCTCCCATGCTTTGCATCCCGTCCGTTCGACCCCTTTATTTAATTTGCATGCAACTTTATAGTTATATATATTTAATTTCCATGTAGTACCCGCAGCACAATGATGGATGTGGTCACGTTGACGCGAGGTCAGGGATAAATAAATAAATTTCATAAATAAAAATAAAAGCTATCAAAATGGTCGCAAGGAAGACTAAGTTGTTTTTTAGACATTGTTTTTGTCTTCACGTTGTTCAAAACCCATAACTATTTAAGTGCTGATTTCACTTTTTTTTATCTCCTTGCGTAAGTTTTTGTTGCATCTTAAATTTTACGTGAGCATAGAACTTCTCAATGTCTATCTTTATATTTTTGTCTGAATGGGGGCTAGTGTCCGGACGTGTAGACGATAACCTCGCCCAACTTTTTTTAGCACATTTAGGTGATTCCTTTTTTTTGGAAAATGGGAGCATGGGAAGCATGGGAAGGCGGTGGGAGCACCGGATATCCATGGGACTGGGCTGGGGCACGTTTGACCTTCACGCGTGACAGAGGTACGGGTATGACAAATAGTAGACCAAAGCTTGATGGTCCAGTTCATGATTTTGCATTGCAAATGCACGGATATATGACCTTTACACGCGTGACAGAGAGGTTACGGACATGACAAACAATGGGGCAAAATTTCATGGTCCTGTTCATGATTTGGCAAGGTCCAACTTACAGTGCACTTACCGGTTTGTCAAAGATGCAACGCATGTAACGGTGGTAGGATAGGCGATGAGGTCGCCGACGGGCATAGCAGCGGTCGAGGTGGCGATAGCAAGGCAATACGATGAAATTAAATAGGGTCTCTATTATAGGAAGAGAGATGACAGAAGGACGGGCCTGCGGTAGCAACGGTGGGAGAGGTGAGTGGTGGGTATGCGGCGTGCCAGCGGCAATACTAGAGGCAGCCGGAGACGAAGAGATGTGAGGAAGAAAATAAATACAGGACATGGAGAAATAATCGTGTGCGTCAATATGCATATGTCCTTAAGGTTTCTTCGGTTAGTCTCCATTCCGAAGGTAGTAGAGGGGATAGAGAGGATTTCAATCCCCTGCAAGACAAAATTCGACTCCCAATCATCTCTCCTGCTGAACAAGCCCTTAGAGGTCCCGGTGTATCCTTAGAGCTCCACATTGAATTGAGTGGTTGGTGTCTTGTACACTTTGTTGTTGAGCACCTCCCTGTTGCCCCTACTTCAAGGAAGGAACCTACTCGTACTTGTGCAAAGAGGCAGGCGCCGCGGTAGAGAGTGCAGTCCTTGTAGCAACATTTTGGTTCTCACCTTCCTTGAATATATATATATATATATATATATATATATATATATATATATATATATATATATATATATATATATATATATATATATATATATATATATATATATAACTACTACCCGGTAGCTGGCTACAAAAATAACTTATTATGTAGCCACTTTGAGTTACGATAATTACTATGTTAATTTACGAGATTATAGTAACTCTTTACTAAGTGGTTTACTATAACGTTATGGTAAATATCCCCCATGTGTTATAGTAACCCAACTATCGTAAATATGTATTGACATTATCGTAAATTAGTATATAAAATTATCGTAAATAGAGGTGGCTACAAAAATAACTTATTTTGTAGCTGGCTACTGAATATATATATATAGGGTAAGGCTATTCTGCAGCTGGCCATAGAATAATTTATTCTATAGCCACCTTGATTTACGATAATATTTATACCAATTTACGATAACATGAATATGCATTTACGATACTCGTGTTACTACAACTCACGGTGATATTTACGATAATGTTATAGTAAATCACTTAGTAAGGAGTTACTGTAATCTCGTAAATTAGCATGGTAATTATCGTAACTCAAAGTCGCCACAGAATAAGTTATTCTATGGCCAACTGCACAACAGTATATATATATATATATATATATATATATATATATATATATATATATATATATATATATATATCTCTCCCTTGCTTGCAGTTGCAGCTGAATCTGATTGCCACGTCACCGTGAATTCCTCTCACAAGAGCCCACCGATCAAAAACTCAAACCGCAAGACATATGTGAAAGCAGAGCCGGTTGTCAAAATCTGTAGCATGCACCAACCAGCAAGCATGAGGAAACTTAAAGCTGAAGGGAATAACGAACAATTCATTTACAAAGCACTGTAATAGTATTTTAGTGTGGAATATTGCGGTGTTAGCGGCAATGCGCACACAGAACCAAAGAGGTTCGTTGCGGTAGAAATTTGTCTTTAACAAGGGCAATTATTTTTAGGCCTTATTTTACAGGGCTCCACTTGGCTTCAGCTACTGCACTGTAGGATGACAACGGAATTGTGTTTTTTTTTCAAGATTAAGGGCCTGTTTCATACAAGGGTTAATTGTTAGCTAGCTAAAACTAGCTCTAGTGCATCCAAACATGATGGTTAATAGTTGAGCTAATTTTCTAGTCAAGTTTCCAACTAATTGTTAGGCAACAAGTTAGTTAACCATAGCTAAGTTTTAGCCTCAAGGAGTAATTATCCATGTGTGTATCAAACAGACACTAACTTGAATAAACCCTGCCAAAAAGACTAGACAAACGCTGACGTTTTTACTGTAGCCTGTACCACGGTAAAATGAAGATTAACCGTTTGGGCCGTTGTCCTCATCTCCTGTTGAGAAGAAAGGAAAACATACGGCCTCAGACCGACCCGGTGAAGAAGTTAGCAGCATAATAGTTGGGCTGAAAAGCAATAATCATCACACTGGGCTAGGCCCAACATTGTGTTGCTGCCCTTTTGAATGGAGTTGGTCGGTGACTGGACTTTGACCATGCACACGGCGGCACGTAGAGACTTGCTCACTTGCAGCAGCAGTAGTAGTAGGTGAAGAAAGTATGGCTTGGCACGGACTAAACCAGGCCGGCAAGAAGTAGGTGACCTTAGAAAATAGAAACGAGTACATACAGTATTTGGTGTAGTTTGAACTTTTAGCCGAGTGTTACATATGTACGTGACAGAATTGGGATGGACGAGACTCAGTCAGATCAAGCTGATAGCAGTGTTTACATAATTTGTTCATCACACAATATGTTTCTTTTTAAGTTTTGATAAGAATTCCCTTTGAAACTTCTAACTTTTTAGGGACGTTCCATCTAGTGAATTCATCAGTCTCAACATCTGTCGATTTAATTTTAAACAAGCTCATATGGTAGGGTGTGCACGTCGTTTTTAAGTACTATTATAACCGTATCTGTTAGTGTCTACAAATGTACTGTGATTAGAAGACAGACACACAAAGCAATATGCGAATAAAAGACAGAAACACACAAAGCAATATGCGAGAATAAGCAAGAAAAAAAATACTCTCTGTTCAAAAAAATATTTTATTTTTATTTTAAGAAGTCAAACAATTTAAAATTTGATTGAATATATATAAAAAAATTGTTAATAGTCATGATACTGAATAAATATCATGAGATTTAATGATAGAATATGTATATGTTTTTATAATATAAATCTATTTAGAGAGATAATCAAACGTAGAATTGTTTCTTTTGGAGCAAGGGAGGACTAGAGCAAAACAGGATCGTGAGCTACTGCGAGCAAATCAAACGACACAATGTGCTAGCTAGCTTATGATGTGGCTTCCACATTTGCACTTGCAAACACAATCAACGCAAAGGCCGCCGGCGGCGGCGTCGATATGAGCTGAACAGGCGTCGCCACTGTCGCGTCCGTCCAGCAAGCCGGAGGCGTCCCCAATCACGGCGGCCAAGACGCGCATATCATCTATGTTGGCCAGCACAGGACTCCCGACCAGGGACGGCAGCATCAACCGCGTGGCCAGGATCAAGGGGCCAGCGAGGTAGCACTACGCCAGATTCTTACCGTAAGAATATAGACATTTTTACTGTAGGAGCGGCTGGAGTTGATGACGCCCCTACAGTGAGCGTTCTCGGGCCCCAGCAGCCTAGCCGCCCCTATAGATGGCACTGTAGGGGTGGCTGGTAACTTGAGCCGCCCCTACCGTTGGGGCTAATCTGTAGGGCGGCTCAATCACCAGCCGCCCCTGTAGTGTCTATTTGTCGTTTTTTAAAATTTTAAATTTGAAAGATTCAAATTTTGTTAAATGACAAGATGACTAAAATAAAAGTTGTAGATATTAATGAGTTGAACAACTATGGTATTCATCACTTTTTATGTTGAAATCATTTTGGGTCTCAAATTTTGGTTCGAACTTGTCATTTTTTAAAATTTCAAATTTGAAAAGTTCAAATTTAGTCAAATGACAAGATAACCAAAATAAAAGTTGTATATCTTGATGAGTTGAACAACTTTTGTATTCATCACTTTTACATCTGAAATCATTTAGGGTTTGAAAATTTGATTTGAACTTGTTTAATTTCAAATTTCAATTTTTAAAATGTGTAAAACATTGTCACATCCAAGTTTGATCAAACTTAAATGCTGAAGCAAGATTTTAGAAATTTTTAGGAAAACAAAAACCATCACATTTAGAGTTAGTATGAGGGAGAACAACTAGTTACAAAGTTTATCCATAGATTAAAAAGAGAAATCACACTGTTCCAGATGATCCTTACATGATCATAGAGAACAGTGTGATTTTATTTTTTTAATCTGTGGGTCAACTTTGTAACTAGTTTTTCTTCCTCGTACTAACTCCAAATCTGATAATTTTTTTTCCTAAAATTTTCTAAAATCATTCTTTATCAATTTATTTTATTGGTTTTGTCAATATATCC